CCCCAAAACCCCAAAACCCCAAAACCCCAAAACCCCAAAACCCCTTGGGGAGTTATAGAGGTTGAAAAGGGAAAATTTGGTGTGAGAGATTTGAGATTTTTAGGAATAGACAGGATTTGCTTGGAGGTGTTAGTGTATTACGTTTATTAATAGTGTTTGTGAGTTTTGTTTGAACCTTGTAAATTATAGACATATCAATTTGCTAGGAACTATCAAGTTTCTTTCATTTCTCAGTCTCAAAATTCCAAATCTCTCATATTTCCTACAAACCATCCCATTCCCCCAACACAAACAAAACACAATTTTCCATCCCAATCCCTATTTCCCCCTCTAACCCCTCAAAACCCCCTATTCCACCCTCTCCAGCCCTATACCCCTCATCCACCTTCTTCACCCCTCTAACCCCCAAAACCCCCTCCTCCAACCCTTCTACTCTACCCCAAATCCTCTCCTCTCCCAAAACTCCACTAAAATCTATTCCCTTAAAACCCTTAAATTTCACAGTAAAAAATCGAAGATTTTTAAGTGAAAAATTAGGAATTTTTAGGATTTTAGTAGAGGAAAGTGACTCAGAGCCTTTAAGTGGGGGAAGAGGAGAGAGTTTTGGGATAAGGGTGGGCTAGTCTTGGTGGGGGGTTGTGGGGTAGGGGGAAGGGAGAAGTGTCTTGGGGGATTTGGGAGGTTGGGAGGGTATTACTCAGGACTTGGAGTGGTGGTGATCTGGTATTGGTTGATTATAGGGAAGAAATTTAGTTATTGGAAGTTTGGTAAGGAAGTGTGATAAAATAATAGTATATTAATTGGAAAAACTTTAGAATAAACATCATGATTTATAGAACGAAGCTAAATATAACTAAAGGGTTAAAATACTAAAACAAATGCTCTTAAAATTTTAGAACCTATCTATTTAATCCCCATCACTCAGCAAAAGGCTATAAAGAAGCAGAATTATCTTGTGTTACCAGGAGAGATTTTACACACATAGGAAATATGGCTTATAGAGTTATGTAAGAGAGACTCCAAGATGAGAAGATTTTATCTCCTTATATCCATGAATCTAGAGTCCGTTCACTACGATGTTTGTGCCAAAACAGTAAGGTGAATATTATTAATTACAATAAACCAGGATGTTCGTTTTAAATATTTTACCTTTTAAGCTAGCCTTTCTCGAGGGAAATAATAATCATGAACTAGTTCATAATATTTATCTAAAAATTGGTGCTGAATTCTCTTTCCGTCAGTCTGTCTAAGAAGAAAACTAGCCGAGAATTTGAGATATAATTTTACCAGACAAATTGAAATTATTCTTTGGGACAACCTGCAAGCCCAGAGTTATAATCCCTGAAATTCATAAAGAATCAGAATAAACCTAATTTTATATAAACCGTCTAACCAAGATGGGAACTAGAGAAGTGAGCCTGCACTGTCTTTGAGCTTATAACGCAATATAATCTCCCAATTCACCATAAATACTTAGGTTTTAGCCCCTAAAACTTGATTCAAGTCATAGGCTAAAAGCCATTTATAAATAATAACTAGCTTCCTTGAACCAAGCAAATTCACTCATGATATGATATCTTGAGGGCTAACCAAATTACCAAAGCAGTATGATTTATTCAGAATGTACTCACAAATAGAAATATTCGCAAAAGATCTCATGAGGATCAGAGCTGCTATGGCAATAATAATCTTAACAATGATAATTATAAATTACGAATTTTGGAATTAGGAATTAACTGTAGATCAGCTCATAATTAAGAATAAGATCAGGAACTCAATTAAGTGAGAAATATACAAGCTGAAGGTAGTCTCTTTAATAATAAGTTGTTTAAAAGTTAAAAGGATGCTTTACTAGGATTAGTCTTGAGTTTGTAGTTCTGGACTGACAAGTGAGTGTCAGGGCATACTATGGTCTTTCTACTGATATCACAGGCAAAGTTGTCTGCAAAGACAGTTCCTTCCTTGGCACTCTCAACTTCAGAGACTGAGTCAAGTGATAATCCCATAAAAGACTTATTAAACAGGGCTGAAAAATCTTCTATCTCGTTAGGGTTATTTTTGTGCCTAGGAGCTAGAGCAGATTTAACTTCTGTAGGAGATATCTCTCTGATGACTCATTTCTTGCGTGATCTCTCCTTCCTGTTACCAACCTCTTCTTTGAAGGCAGAGGGTGGAACTTCTTTACTATCATCTTGAACTTCTATAGAAAAGATGTAAATATTTTGTTCCAAAATTTAGTATCAGGCTGTTTCTAATATTTTCCTACCTTCTGAAATTTGATCGATGCTATAGGATTCATCGGGAAGCTCCACGACCACTCCCGAGACCTGCATGTTTTGGCTCACGAAGTCATTACCACTATCTTCTTTGGCTAAGCCAGGACTGATATCCCCAGTGCTGTAGAGCTGGCTTCTAAAGGAGGAGCCCTTCTTATCTCTTGTGAAGGAAGTATCAGTACAAATTTGAGGAGTTTTAAGGGGAGGTAAGTTAAAACCTAACTTCATTTTTATTTATATTAGAAATGCTACTATTTATTTACTAGCTTGAGGGGTTTTGGGGTTTTGGGGTTTTGGGGTTTTGGGG